TTCCTTTATGGAACTAACAAGTATGACCTTTGATGCTCTGTATGTGATATGTTAGCGCTAACAGATGTACTATGTAAGATTAAGCATGAACTCTGATTTCTGTTTATGACTCGAACAAGAACGTGGATATGAATTTGTTTCTGTTTACTGAATTAATTATGGAACATCATTCCTTTAACCCTTTACTTTGTTATTAGTTACTAGGCTTTCGCTCACTATTTATATTATGTATGTAGGTGAGCAAGCGCGTAACCAAGCTTAAGCTGCTGCTTGGAGAGTTTTGAGTCAGCCAGCCAGCCACCATGCCTCCCAAGAAGGTTTCCTTTTGATAAGTTAAGTTGTGAATCTTGGGAAAGATGTTTTCGTTTGTTTCTGTCTATTTATACATTGGGTTAAGTACCTTTTTGGTTGTATCTGCATGATGCCATAAACCTTATGTAATATGACGTCATATATGTATGTTTTATATAAATTTCCAAATTTTTGTCTTATGTAAGTCAACACAGCTTAATGAATTATGTATATTTTGTATATTTGCTTTCGCAGCCCTTAACTATTTGTAATTTTGTTCAAAGGCTTTCGGTAATTCAATGATTATTGGCCAGTTACGACGCTAAACCTTTAAGGTCAGATTTGGATCGTGACAACGGCCCAAACCCTATTATGAATGGACTTGGACTTTGGTCCGGGCCTTTTTTTTTTGTCCAAACCTTATTTTTTGGTCCATAAACCGATTTGACCAAACCCATTAAAAAAGAAAAAGTTCATGAGACCCGTTTGAACGACCCGAGCCGGAGCCAGGCATGATCGGCCTATTGTTACATCTCTATCAATAGTTACTCCCAAGTCCTCTTGAAACGAATTAAATAAAGGTGAGCCACGTTCTCATAATTTTGACGTGTGATGGGTTGTTTACAATTGAATAGGAAATTACGTGTGGCAATACCTTAACTTCTACACGACACCCTCACGCATCATCATCATCATCATATTATATGCAATCCACAGAATCACGTGGCCGTGGTCCCCACCACAATAAGACACGTTCATATGACATTAGAATATGCCATTGCCAATGCTAATGCTTTAAAGTAGTTAGAGACTAGTAGCAAATTTAGCAAAACAATTACCACGTGATTCTCCTAATCCTGTGGTCTCCAGTCCTCCCATATACAATCTTCCAGCGACCCCTGAAACAAACAACTAACCCACATCACATCTTTGAATTGAAAACTTATTATTTCAGTTTTAGGGCAAGTTTGGCCAGAATCTATATATGAAATTTATTTATTTATTTATTACACATTATCATATCACCTCTTTATTAAAAAAAACAAATTCTAAACCATCCCTTATGAATATTATTTCTCTAAAAAATTGAGAAAAATAATATTGAAAATATTATAGAGGTCTTGTTTGATTAATAGGATTCATAGTAAAGGGATTAATAATTTTATGAACGTTTGAAAATATATTATTTTAATAATTTTTTAGATTTTCATAAAAAAATATGCAGAATAATAGAGAGAGTGATGTGATAAGTTATAATAACTTTTTGACTAAAATGTTTATTCCTCAAATGAGGCTAGGATTAGTTATCTAATTAAATTAGTGAGATAACAATTTATTATGTATTTATTTTTTTCGTATATAAATTTATGATCCTCAATGCCTCTCAATATTAAAAATTCACTAATTTCGTCGAATTGAATGTCCGCCGTACAAGTAATTCGGTTAATAAAATTTATAATCAAATATGAGTTTGTGGGTCCATGAATTAACAATCTCAACTATAATCCTACTAATTAAATATGCTCTTAAAGTAATATTACAACTTAGTCGTATGTTATGTACTTAAATACTTTTAAATTTTGTATATATTTTTTAATTTACTAGTAAGTCTTGAAATACTTATTTTTTCTCAATACTTTTTGAGAATATTGATAGATGAAAAAAAAAATGAAAAAAACATATAGATAAATAAGTTTGGTTAATATAACCGACCCATAAATCCTCTTACTCTCTTACATACAGAATTCTTGATATATATATATATAATAATAAAAAGGATTCTTGTTATAAAATTAATCACTTCAAAAAAGTTTATGGACTCCGCGAAATTATGGGCAAAGTTTAAGTAGATGTAACGCTGCTCATAATTTCACAGAATCCATACTGAACTTTTTTTTTTTTCACCTACCAAAAAAAAAAAGAATTCTTGTTATAAAATTAATCACTTCAAAAAAGTTCGGTATGGACTCCGTGAAATTATGAGTAACATTACATCTACTTAAACTCTTACTAAAAATATAAATGTCCAAGTATCGTTTGATATTTAAATATCATTATTTATTTTTTTTGTAACCAATCACATTTAACCTCTTATATTTTTAATAAGATTGTTAAGGTTTTGTTTGGGAAGTAGGTTGGCTTTTTGACTTTTTGACTTTTTTGCCTATTTTAGCCTGGGCTAAAAAGCTTGGTTTGGGAAGAGTTTTTTGACTTTTTTTGTGAAAGAAGAGTGTAATGATTATGGGTTGGATGTGATGTTTTGTTTGTTGCGGCTAAAATAGCCTATTTTGTCTTTTGTAACTATTTTAGCTAAAAAAGTCCAAAAAGCCTCTTCCCAAACAGAGGCTTAGTATACTTAGAATTATTCTGAAATTATTATATTATTTTTAAATTTTTTATGTTTAGTATGTATGCATGCTAATACAAAATAATTATTCTCTCTAATAATGAATTTATTTAATTATGTTCATTCTTCTAATACTGTTATTTAAACATAAAATATGAGTGTTTAAATATAATCATAATAAATAATAAAACAAGTACTTTAGTTCAACAATTATGATATCATTATTTTTCATGTTTGAGTAAGGAATGAATTAGGTAATGACTTAAAATGTTTTGAAATTATATAATTATGACAGATACTTTGAAAGGTTGCTATATATCACAAAAACAAATTTTAAAAAATTTTCACCTCCTATGTGATTCTTATGTAACACGACAAGTCTTACCATTTATTGAATACGGTAGATCGCATACATACATATAATTTTTGTTACATCAATAAACTTAATCAATAAAATAAAATAAAAAAACTCCCACAAAAGGATAAAACAATTTTAGAGACTATATTATTTATATCATTTATCTATTCACATATTTATTTATGTATCATTTTTTATTTGTCTACATTTCACCTATCTGTTCATCTAATTTACATATCTCTTTACCTAATTTGCCTATTTTCCTTTCTCTCCACGACCGCTTTCAGTGACTTTTTCCAGTGTGATATAAATGGGAAAAAAATTAAATCATAATTTATCATTCTTATCAAATAATTCCATTAATCGTGTTCTTATTAAAAAAAATTTTAAAAAAAATTAATCATTAAGTCTAATGCATATCCCCATAAAAATTGACTTATTACCAATAAATTTTAAAATAAAATAGTGAAATAAATTTGGAGATAAATATCATTTTGTACTTTCAATGTGTACGATTTTAATTTTCTAAATTTAGTTTTCTATTTTTTGTGTTTTTTTCTGTTTTTAGTTAATATTTTTAAAATTTTAAGCAATTGTTTTAGTTTTTTAGATGCATCTTACTTAGATGTATCTAAATAGTAAAATATTTGTAAAAAATTAATAAATACACAAAAATATTTTTAAAAATGTCCTGAATTTTAGTTTTTTTTTTATATTTTTGGTATTTAGTGAATTCTTTAAAGATTTTTTTCACTAATATTATACTTTTTAAGTGTACTTATGTTAGGTGTGTCTAAAATTTTAAAAATTATTTACAATATTAAAAAAATCATTAAAAGCAAAAAATACGAGAAAAAAAAGTAGAATTTTCTAAAAAGTATTTTTAGAAAACCAAAACCAAACAAACTGATTAATTTTGTGAAACTAATTATAAGGTACTCCAGCTAGAGATTCACTCCCGAAAGTATTGACCCCCAGCTTGCTTGGTTAGATTTTTAAAAAAATAATTTTTAGAAAATTTTATTTTTTATTTTTCGTGTTTTTTTGTTTTTACTGAATTTTTTTAATATTTTAAGTAATTTTTTTTTACTTTTTAGACATAGCTGGCATAAATATACTTAAAAAGTAAAAAAAAATTGTGAAAAAAACTTTTAAAAATTCACTAAATATCAAAAATATTTAAAAAAATACAAAAATTCAATACATTTTTTGTATTTTTTAATTTTTAAAATAGTTTTTCATAAATTTTTTACTTTTTAGATACATCTAAGTAAGGTGCATCTAAAAAAGTAAAAAAATATATTTAAAATTTTAAAAATATTCACTAGAAACAAAAAAACACAAAAATCAAAAAATTTAATTTTTAAAAAAATTAATCCAAAAAAATTCAAACCAAACACACTGACTTTTAAAAATTCAAAAACTTTATTTATTTACTTATTTATCTATCTATTCAAATGTAATTTATTTATACACGTGTGGCTTATTTATCCACCTCACCAACCTAACCACTTCCAATTACCACTTTTTTGACTAGTCACTGACTTTTTCAGGCAACTTTTACCTTGTAGACTGAGGAATTATTTAAATAAATATATTTATTTGACTCACGTCAATTTTTTTATTTTTTTACATATTTTTTCATAAAAAAATTAAAAAATACATCAAATAAACAAGTCCCAAACAACCCTTAAACCTAGATCCAAATTTATAATTATATAATTTAATATGACGGTGTTTGGGAAGAGTTTTTTTTTGTTTTTTTGTTAGTTTTTTACTAAAAGATAAAATAGGTTAAAAAATAAAAAATAAAAAAATTCAAACAAAATATCACATCAAATCCATAATTATTTCATTTTTTTTCTCACAAAAATAATATCTAACTACAAAAAAATTTCAACTATCTTTTCAAACACAAAAAAATTTCCTCCAAAAATAATCAAAAACTAAAAAAACCTAATAAAATAACATGTTGCCAAACACCCACATAATTTGGTTAAAAAATGAAAATTTGAAAAACAAGAGGCAGAAGAGTGGTGGGCGAGAGAGAAGGGTCGGGGCCGTCGATCCGCAGTATTCGGAGCTTCATTTCTTCTCACTCTTTTCTTTTTGCAGTTCCTTCACAAAACGAACCCCCCCATCTCCTCTCTCCCTCCGGATTCCTTTCTCGCTCCATATAACTTCCTCTCTCTCTCTCGTGAGACCTTGTATATATGTATTCATAGTCGCTGAAGAGTTTCGAGAAATGCGGTTGTGCTTTTCGTTCGAATCGCTACGAGGTATGTCTCTGTCCTCCTCTTCTACAAATTGGTTTATTTTGAGTTCGATTTTGATTTTGAGGCTTTGGTGGCCAAGTCTGGGTTTGAATTTCTTAGTGGGTTTTATTTACAAATGTTGTTCGTTAGTGCTTGACTGGGTTCGAAATCATTTGGGATTAAAGTTGGTTTCGCATTGCGTTAGTACATTCATTACCTCTGATTTGTTTTGTTTTTTTTTGGGGTTTAAATTTCTTGGCGGGTTTGATTTAGGATTAAGTTTGAATTTCTTAGCGGGTTTGATTTAGGATTAAAGTCCACACCTTGATTGTTGCTTCTGCACTCGACTAATCATTCCTTTTTTTGGGGTTTGATTGAGAAAATTTTTTCTTTAAAGGTGTGCTCTTTTTGTATTTAATGTTCTTTGAATCATCAGGGTTTGATTGAGAAAATATTTTCTTTAAGATAGTTGTTGTTCTTCGAGTACAGATGCAAATTCCTTTGCCTTGTGTTTGGTTGGGGATTTGTGAAGGGATTTGGAAATGAAAAAAGAAAAATGTGTGAAACTAGTTGAAATATATGCATATTTTATTTACATTTTACCTACTTTTTTTTCCTTTCCAATTTTTTTTTTCAAATCCTCCACCCAAACACAGCCTTATGGTTGTTGAGCACTTGAATTATATCTCAACAGGCTTTCTTTAGACTTATATCCAATCTTACTTGATCACCTGTTTATTCTTGTTCCGTCGAATTTATTTATTTTTTGATGTTCCATTTTGGTAAAGCCACATTGCTCCTCATTGGATTATAAAAATGTGAACTTGTGATTTGGGTGATGGATTTTGTAGTTTGGATTCTTAGCCTTGAAGGATTCCCACATTCTCATTTGATATGGGAATGTATCTAAGGGTTATGATAGGAACAACTCTTGTGTAAAGTATTGCTTGATGCATATGAGGTGGCTTTTGAACATAGGAAATTTTCAGTATGACATCTGTTTGATATCGCCATATCTTGATTCCAGTGTTTTCTGGAGCCCAGGTGGGGTGGGTTTATAGGATGAAATTTAGGAGGCATTTGTATGCATATGATCATTGTATCATAATTTCTCTGCCTATAATAGGTTCACTCTAATTGCTACACTCAGTGTGATTGTTCAGTTTGTTGATTAATGTGAGAAAAGTACAGGGAGAATAACAAATTTTGCAAATGATTGAGTTAATGCAATAAGATTATCTTGACATAATTGACAGGGAAGAAGTTTAAATTTCAATTGATGTTGGTTTACATGAAAGATTTACTGGTTCGGACTGTAAGATGTAGAAGCTAGCTATTCTTTTTTGTAGTTGGTCAGAATTTAAATCATAGTGAATGTTATAGGAAGTTTTTAAATGCTGGAGTAGTATGGTTCTGGAGTGCTTACTAAATTTGAAAGGCTCCAAGACTACAGAAGGGTGGTCCAATGCACAAGGGTCCTGCTAAAGTTGGGTATTGGGAGGCTAAGATGTTTGCACCTTTACTCACATTTCTATAGATGTTGTTTTGGTGACTACATAAATTATTCTTCTGGACATGATTGTGGGATTTAAATGTAAATGTGTACTGAATTAAGCATGGCAATGAGAGAACAAACAAGCTCTTTATATGGGCATATTTGGGTTTGAGAGTTCAGAATTTTATCCTTTATTGTGGTTTGCATGTGATATGTAAGGGTCTTTATTTCCTAAAAACTAACAATGAAGTCTAAAAATTTCCAATGCAGCAAATTATATATACTTAATTTTAAAATTTTAAAATTTACCGATAAGATTAAAAGTGAAAATCACATTTTACGAAGAGTATTCAATGTTCAACGATAAGTCGAACCTTTCTAACTTAAAATTCACACACATTTTAAATGATTTTCAGTTTAAGTGGTTATTATTCATGTGTCAAATTTAATAGTAGAAGATTTATTACTTGAAATATTTTTGACTTGAGCATTTAGTGGGATTATCAGACTTCTCCGTAATCCTCACAAAATGTGTTGGATTTGGGGATGTTTGGCTTTAGAATAGTTTTGTAACTCTTTTCAATGATGCTACATTTGTGGTGGTCACCTGGTGTTTTTAAGGAAACCTTTGTTTCTTTTAGGGGGTGGGTGAAGGAGAGTGTCTCTTCCATACCGTGTTTCAGTCCTGCCGAATATTTTTTTCTATTTACCTGAGATGAGTGAAGGAAACGCAATTTGTTTGTATCGCTATAGTAGTCATTTTGGGTGCATAGAGAAGTTTTAAAATGAATACCTATGTTAGAAGCTGTGGTCAGAGATTAGTTGGAGTGATGTCTTGCATAACATGCATATGGGGAAGGTAGATGTTTGTGTTGTAGGACCACAATTTCACTGCACTTTCTCTGCATTTCAAATCACCTTGCAAGATTTTAGAAGGATGTGAATCCAAACCATTGGTCCAATTCCCAAATTAAACCTTATTTTTGTTCAGAGGAGTTTATTTTTGAGTTATACTCATGTTGCTTAAGAATTAAGAGTGAAATGGATTCTGTGATTTTAAATTTTTTAACTTGTAGATCATAGTAGCTAGAATGTGGCATATGGTTGTATGTCTATAGATGATCTACTCATTGGTGCCAACAATGCTCTTATTATGTGCATGTATGAATAGTGTCACAGCCTGAATAACGGGTCCTAGAGTTCAGGATCTAGTATTTCAAGTTGCTTCTTAGTCAAGTTCTCCCTTATCAGGCGTAGGTTGTGTTTGTTGTCTGGTAAAGTAGATTTTCGGATGGTAGCACTTCCAAACTTTTTCAAGATGATGGGAAGTAGCTTTATTTCTTATATTCAATCTCTTTCTGAGAAATAAACTGCACATTTTACTTGTGTTCTTATCCAGCTGTAAAGTGTCACAAGTACAACTATCTGCAGCCTTGTGCGAACAACATGGAACAGTCACTTTTCTTCATTCATCTTAAGAAACAAAGCCAATGTTCTGCTGTGGGAGTGCATATGTAGTTCTCAAATGTATTGCCTTTGGATTATGAAATTGCAATAGTTTTATAAATTCTGAGGAAAGATTTGATACTTCCAACCACATGAGAGAATGGGCTGTGAATTCATAAAAGTCTGATGTGGATTTAACAATTTCCTACACTACAAATCAAAAAATTTGAGGCAAAAGGTTTACGGTGTCTCAACTGTATTTGATTATCGCTTGTTTATATGTCATGCCTAACTTTTATCATGGTACACTGGAGCTTGATTCAATTTGGTAGTGTCTTATCATAGATTTATCATGGCAGATACTTCAAACTATTGTGTTTAAACAGTTTTGCCATAACATCATATGCAGGTCAAAGCAATTGCTTATGTGATGCGTGATTCTTTACTGGTTGAAATCTTACCCTGCAGCAGTTATTGAATTCATGAGAACTGTTGCCATGAACTTTCCAATCTTGCAAGTGCCCAGATTCAGAATCCATGCCTTAGCTAGTTCTTGTTTTGAAAGTTTCCACAGTTTAAGCAGGACTGGTGGAAACAATTCCAGTTTTAGGATTTTGGGGTGCAGTACCCATGGGCTTGAAGGAGGACACAGTAGTAGGAGATGGAGTAGAAGACCCATAACTACAAAAACAGAAGGAAGAAACAAAAAGACACTGACCAGCAAAACAAGCAACCTCAGACAAGAAATATCAGATGGATCAATTGCGACTAGCAATAAATTAAATATTAATAAATCAGAAATGAGTGAATTCCAAAGAACTCAGTGCTGTGATATCAAACAGAATATTGGTGAATCCAGAGATTTGTTTGGCCTTGTAACTGTCATTGTGTTTGATATTGAGACCACTGGGTTTAGCAGAGTGAATGATGGGATCATTGAGATTGCACTGCAGGATCTTCAAGGTGGTGAAAACAGCACTTTCCAGACACTAGTAAATCCTGAACGCTATGTGCCAAATACAAGTGTCCATGGCATTTCAACCCAGATGGTCAGCAAACCTGGTGTTCCTAGGTAATTTTTTTCTGCAACTGCCGATTTTTTTTAATTTTTTTTGGGTTCTTCTTGTTAAGTAATTAGTTCATAAACTAGGTGGTTAGTTTTCTCGAATTTTTGGCATGAACTGCTACTTGAATTGATTGCATGAGATTTTTTTTTTGGTCTTGTCAGAATTACATGTTCTTTGTTAATGGAGAACACTAAAGGTGCATACTTGCCAAATAAAAAATTCATGTTTTTAGTAACTTGAGTAGCACATATAAAACTTGTGGCGGCAGATTCTAGAAAAAAAAAAAAAAAAAAACAAACTTAAAACTTAAAACTTAAAACTTAAAGAGGGTTTTAGTGGTTGTTAGGGCTCATGTGTGTATCAAGTATATCAACCATTAGCATATTGAACTCTGAAAGCTGTGTTTGCAAAGGCATGATGCTTGGTTTGATGTGAACAAGTTTGAATGTCAATGTGTACATAAATTGTGCATCAAGCAAATCCTAAGATATGGATTTTGTACTTGCCTATAACTGAAAACTTTTCATGGCCTTCCATGCATACCCATGCATCACTTATGTTTGTACATTTATATATAAACTAAATATAAGTATCATTGGCCAATGGCCTATATGTAAATAAATCAATTTTAGCATTTAGGTTTTGGAGGGATGCTGTGTCGGATACCCCATGTTTGTTTTTATGTTTAGCTTTTTGTGCCTGTTAGCCAATTTACCGGAACAGTAGTAACAGGATTTTCATTGTGAGAACAATGCGTTCAAATCCATTGCAGCTGAAACGTATTGGGAGGTTGAATCCTGCAACTGACTTCAAAACCAATTAAAGGTTTGAGGACTCATTTTAATAAGACACATAAGAGATGACTTGAATGATAGAGAAAAGGCTATCCTATTTATCCAAAAAAAAAAAAAAAAAAGGAAAAGAAAAGGCTATCCTATGTTGGAAACTTTTGGGAATAATTAGGATCTAGACTGTACAGTTTTGTGCAGGCAATGCTGTCTTCTTAGTGCAAGGAAGTAAAGTTCACTTAGATATACCTAGGAATTTTATTTGATTTTTTGTTTTTCACTCAAATGTTACTAGGAACCTGATTGAAAGAACTCTTTTGGATGATGACAAAAAAGGATTTGGAACGTTGCACAGTATTATCATTTTGATGTGTCGAAATGCTCAAGATAATTATTTGTTGTCGCTGACTAAGCAATTCAGTGAGATTTGAAAACAATAAAACAGCATTAGTTTTGAAGTGCTTGTATATTTGATGTGATCAAGGAGAGGTGAGGACTATATAGAACCTAATTGATCAGTCAATAAATATTAAGCTCTTGAACAGTTAATATATTCTTACTTCAATGATCTCTTATGTAGGATGAAGGACCTCATTCCAATCTTGATGCAGTTTGTCAAAAGCCGCCAAAAACCCAATGGACCTGTATTGTGGATTGGACACAATGCTCGTTCTTTTGATGTACCCTTCTTGATTAATGAATTTACTCGCTGCTCCTTTGAAATTCCTCCAGATTGGCTTTTTATGGACACAATTCCTCTGGCACGTCAAGTCATAAAGTCAAGAGGTCTCTCTCTCTCTCTCTCTCTCTCTCTCTCTCTCTGTCATGCCAATGCTTTAGTGTACTGACGTGGCTTTGATTTGGTGAACAGGATTGAAGCTTCCTCAGAAAGTGTCACTAGAAGCCCTTCGGGAGTATTATCAAATTCCATTAATTGGATCCGCCCACAGAGCCATGTCAGATGTATACACATTATCGATGATTGTTCAAAGGTTGTCTTTTGACCTGAAATTGCCGGTTGCTGGTTTTATTGAGAAATCATTCAGTGCATCAGATTTAAGTAATGTTAAGAAGAAGAACAATTCAGGATAGTTTCAAAACATGTTTTTGCTTCTGTAATGTTTATTTGTTGCATTATTCAACTCATTCTTATCAATGAAATTCTGCCTATTATTGGAGCAATTGTCAATATTTTGCTGGATACGGAGGACTGTCTTTTAATTCAATATATTCAGCCATGTCTAGTGAGGAGTGGCTTTGTAGTCTACTGTATTCTTCTTCCCACTATGCTTACATTTGGCTCTTTGTCGTCAGTTCATTAAATATTTTACTAAAATTGATGCAGTTTTAGGTTTTTGTTGTGAAGAGAAGGCCAGTGAGTGCAAAGGGGTAACTTGATTGACGTTGGAGGAGGGAGTAACAAATATCTAAATGTCCAAATGAGGCAGAGAAGATAAGAGTTTATTGTCATTTTTAGTATTTCTTGTGCCCTCCGGACTAGGGCTGCAAACGAGCCAAACCGAGCCGCGTTTGTTTTAGTTTATTTGAGTTTGTTTATTAAGATTTTAATGAATTCGAACTCAATAAAAATTTAACGAACCAAGTTTGAGTTGAGTTGGCTTAGGTTTGACTCGAGCTTAAGTCTATTCACGAGATTTAACAAGTCAAAAAATTTATAAATTTATACTTGGGTATGAGATAAAAATTATATAATTATATATATACAATATATAAACATTTTATAAAAAAAAGGGTCAATATTTTATCAAAATAATAATATCTACTACCACTATTATATAAATGTACTATCTATAATTAACTATTATTTACATTTATATTTTTAAAATATATAAATAACATATTTATCTTATTTTTATACATATTTTTATATTATTTAACATATAAATAATAAATATTAAACAAGTCAGTTAACGAGTCAAACTTACAAGCTGATCTTTAGAATGTTTGAACTTGTTTATTAAAAATTTAACAAGCTCGAACTCGAACGTAAAAAAAAATTAATGAACTGAGTTTGAACGAGCCCTTACCGAGACAAGTTCGAGCCTGTTCATGAACATTTCTGTTCATTTGCAGCTCTACTCTAGACTACTGCTCTTAAGATTTCTCATTTTGTGTGGACTGACCATGTGTCAAATAAAAACTTAGAATCATATAATTCTAAACTCTCCAGTAAGATTTTGCTGCTACTAAACATATCTTTAACTCCACCCATACTAGCAGTGATTCTAACCTTTAGTGGATTATTGATGGGCTTATGCTCCATGTATCTAGCAGCAAGGACTCAAGAGAGTGGCTGGAGCTTCATCATGCGAAAGCCATGCTACTATGCAACCATCTAATAAATTAACGTGAGCTTTTGGTGTATCCCTTTTAATTTTTTGCAATTGTGTTTTGTACTCGAGTAATTTTATGATATTTAAAGATGAAGTGGTTAGCCTGATAGATGAGGTACTCTCTTTTTAAAAACTTATCTTAATGCACCTCTCCACAAAGTAACAGTCGCTCCCAAAGCATCCAAAAACCAACTTCCGAAAGAGCCTTCAAGGGGGGATCATGCCAAAAACTATTCACACTCCGTCATCAATGTCGGGAAGAAATGCGTTCACCTTGAAACATTCGGCATCAACACCAAAACTTGGCTATAGTCAAGGAACTTGAAATATTCAATACATAATACCAAAAATTAATGTTTATGATATGAACTAGAAATAGATATATTATTCATACTCCTTTTTGTTTCAAATTGTTTGTCCAACACGAAAAATAATTACTTAAAAATATATTTTTTTGTACCAAAATTTTTTGAATTTATTTTCACTAATTAAAAAATCTGATCTATCTATCTATATATTATATAAGAAAAATGAGATTTTTAGTGAGGAGTTTTGTGAGAGTTTCAATATCTGATACTAATTTTCTTGATTTTCTTAATTTTAAACAATTAAAAAAATCTCTATTTACTAGTTTTTATTTGATAATCTCACATCGGGAGGAGAAGGGAAAAAAATGAATTGTTTTACTCATGTAAAGTGAATCTTATACTTTCATCCCATTTAATATTATCCCATTTATTTGATAATCTCACATCGGAAAAAGAAGAAAAAAGATGAGTTATTTTACTCATATGAAGTTAATCTTATACTCTCATCCCATTTAATATTATAGTGTTGTGCATGTTTCAATTCAATTTAATTTAAATTTTAAAAAATTTAATTAATTAATTTTGACTTAGCCGATTAGGCTAAATCATTTTTTATTTGATTGATTCGTTAGTTTACTTGCGATTTTAACGGTTTTATCAAAATATATTGATTAAATTTGTTTTATTTAAAATAAACTAAAGATTAATCTGATTAAAGATTGAAATACTGAGATTGCTTGATTAGAAATAATTTTCCATCCAAATAATTGTTAACTTTTATTTTATAATCCCACATTGGAAAAAGAAGAAAAAGTGAGTTATTTCACTTATATAAAATGAATCTTAATAGTGTAGTATTGTGTATACTTCAATTTAAAACAGTTTAAATTTTAAAATTAAAATAACATTTAAAAGTTTTAATTAATTAATTTTTGTATAAGTTGGTTGGTCATTTGACCTAATCGATTAGGTTGAACCACTTTGGGTTTAACCGATTAGCCGGTTTAATCGCGATTTCTTATACTGATTTTATTAATTTTAAATAATCAAAAAAATTCCATTGACTAACTTTCATTTAATCATATAAAAATAAAACTCTAATTAGTTTATGATTTATTTTATAATCCCACATCGGGAGAAGAAGAAAAAGCAAAATTTGTTTCACTATCTATCTATCTATATATTATATAAAGAAAATGAAATTTTTAGAAAGAAACCTTAGGAGCTCCAAACCTTCATTCTAAAATTATTGAATTTTCTTAATTTTAAATAATTAAGAAAATTCTCATTTTCTTAATCAAAACAACTTACAAATGTTTAATTGAAATTACTGCAAGGAGTTGCTTCAAAATACATAACAGGTTTGAATAGCAGAGCTAGGTGTTGGTTCTCACTCACACTTTTCTAACTCCGTTTTTTCTTATCCTATCTACAAATGATTTTAACCTTACAATTTGTAGAAACAAAATTAACAATGCAGCATGTGACTTAGGGCGATCAGGAAAGCAGCTGGCAGCAATAAGAGTATAAGATTCACTTTATGTAAGTGAAACAATTCACTTTTTATTTCTTTTCCCGATGTAGGATTGTAAAATAGAAGGTAAATGGAAGCTAGACAATGAGAATTTTCTTAATTGTAAAATATAAGGAAACAGAAGCAGGGGATGAGGATTACTGAGGACTACAGATGACAAATATGCACTCAAAATATTCAAATAGTTAAAATACAATTTTAATATAAACAACTTACAAATGTTTAATTGAAATTACTGCAAGGAGTTGCTTCAAAATACATAACAGGTTTGAATAGCAAAGCTAGGTGTTGGTTCTCACTCACACTTTTCTAACTCTGTTTTTTCTTATCTTATCTACAAATGATTTTAACCTTACAATTTATAGAAACAAAATTAACAATGCAGCATGTGACTTGGGGTGATCAGGAGAGCAGCTAGCAGCACATGGGCAAAAGCAGGCTGTCGGATGTTTTCGGTTGATTGACTGAAAGTTGATGTAGCTTTTAGCAGATTGATTGACTGATGAACAGTAAAAGTGAATAGTGACTTTTTACTATTCATTACTTTCGGTGGAAACATGTTAATAGGGGAATCAATATAAATACAAATTGACAGCTTTTCTCAAAAGAGTATTGATTGAAACTAATTTGTATCTATATGGAATCCAATGCAGGGCTGACTAGACGTATGGGTCCTGAGCATCTTGAAACTCGGGTCCATATGGGTTTTGAGTAGTTGAACCAGTGGTTGAACCTTCAGAAGAATGTGAACTGTCTGAACCTTCTCCTGAATTGTTGTTATCTAAATTATCCGAATCTGACTGGGCATTAGCTTGGTCAACAAGCAGACGGGCCATCTTGAGAAGCTTATCTCTGGATGACTTAGTTTTAACCTTGGACTTTGCTTTAGCAGATGTGGGCTTTGCTTTATCCTTTGCTTTGAGTTGAGCAGAGCTGGGCTTAACAGATGTAGATTGAATCTTTGATTTGGCTGACTAGGGCTTGGAAGAACTTGAAGTTGGGCTTCCAAGATTAATAGTAGGAAGTTGGCTTCCTTGGGTAATTGAAGCAGTTGGGCTCTGCTGAGCCTTAACCATGGCAGGTGTAGGAGCATGAATGTTAATGGGAAACTCAGTTTGCACAAGTTCAACAATGCGGGGAACTTTGTAGTTATCCCACCATTTAACCGAATGTATCCTTTGAATCACATCATCAGAAATGCCATAGTGCCATTTAAATATCCAAGAGATCTTATATTTGGTTATAAAAATAAGCAATTTAGGGAATTTCTTCTGTTGTGGAGTGAATGAGAAAACAGTTGAAAAATAGTTAGCCTGTTCCAGCACAATAGCTGGGAAGATATCTGAAATGGCGCCATAATGAGTCCACCATTGCAGAAACCAAGTAGGAAATTCAGATTTAAACTTTTGATCAAACTGAATGAACCAGGAATGACTAAAGGTTTTAGTCTGATACAGAAATATTTTGAATCAGGCATCAATATAGTCATAATAACTATACTGAAGAGAGTTATTAGGCAATTCTCGAAGCTGATAAGGAGAACCCCATTTAGCCAAAGAAACAATGTTATGAATATAAAGGGAATGGTAAACAACTTTACTAGTGTAAATTCGATCATAAATAAGTTTAATCACAATGAATTGATGATTCAACAAAATGTTTTTATAGAAGGTGACTGTTTTCTCTGGATGCATGGGAACAAAATGCCATCCAGGAGGAAAAAAAGATTTAACTAGGTCATTAACAAACTGACTCTTTGGGTGACTAGGTTCTTTGAAGAATAGGTTAATAGTGGTTGATTTAACATAATCAAAACAGGTAGTTTTAATCGGATTAGGAGGGTAAGGAGTAGCTGCTTGGCTAGATGAAGCAAAGGGATCAGAGGCCAAAGCAGATGTGTAGCTTGGTTTAGGAATGTTACCAAGAACTTGGTAACGGTTAATCATTTCAATAGGATGGTATTGGGTTACTAGCTCCAAAAGATGAGGGACAATGTGTTAACCAGATGGGACCAGGGCTTTGGAAGGAGGCCTGGGACGAGACATCTGTTTAATAAAAACAAAGGTTAGCA